AAAAAATACGTACTTTTGTGGATGTAAGCCCAGTTTTCTCAACAATTGTGCTAGCTTTAAAAAAAATCTACCATCAGGTTTGACCACACGAAGGTCCATTCTTTAAAATCTCAGCCTAATTTTCAAAGGATGTGAATCTCACAAGAATGAGGAAGGGATCTAAGGGAGCAGAATCTACTTTAAAAGTTAGGTAAATCACTTCAGGAAAGCTCAGACTACCATTTAATGTAATTCAATCACTCAACAGAAAAGTTTGGACTCCCTAAGGAAGGTTTTGAACCACTTCAGAAAAGGTTGGACACCATTTGGAAACTTGGAAAAATTGTCGGTTCACTTCGGAAAACTTTCTACACTTTCACTAATCAAGATTGTGTCCTTGCCAAATGCCAAAGCAGTTAACAAAAATCTGGAGCTCACTTAGGAAAATATCAAACCCGTTCTGACTAGTTTGGTTTCAGTTCGGAAAAAGTTGAATCAATGCAGGAAACCTTGGATTCATTTAGGAAAAGGATTAATCAGCTAATGTTGCCTCACTTCAGAAAATGTGAAACCAATTCTTTAAAGATTGGATTTGGAATATTCAACATATCACTTCAGGAAAGTTTTGACAACTTTAATAAGGATTGAATAACATAACAGTTAGAAAAATATGGATGACTTATTTGAAAGTTTGAACTCACTTAAAAAAAGTTCAGACTCAGTTTTGAATCTGCTTTGAAAAGTGTCACCTCAGTTAGGAATTTCCTGAATCGTTTCTGATTTGGTCTCACTTCTAAAAATTTTAAACCAATTTTGAAAAGATGGTATTTAGCTCGGAAATTGTTGAATAACTGTAGAAAAGAAGTGAATCATTAAGTATCATTGCAGAAGGTTTGTTAGGTTAGAAATGTAGATCGAATGCAAAAATCTGGCGACTACGGTGTGCTGGGCACATCGTAATAATGTCGGATAACGACCCACTGAAAATGGTTCTTTGTAGTAACTGGGACAAGACGAAGATGTGCGCAACGAACAAGAGGGATCGATCAGATTGAAGGCGACTTACCTAGTGAGTTGCCAAACAAGATTAGGAATGATGTTCGATAAAATCCGTTTTCAACAACTGAAACCGGCTGATCCGATTTCAAGGACCTGTCATGTCGTACTGGTCAAGTACCAATTTATGTGAAAATTCTTTAAAAGAACAAGGTGATACAACAACAACAACAACACCAACATAATAAAATCTAGCAAAGCGAGTATCCATACCCAAATGAATTTGCGAAAAATAAATATACACTGAAAGTTTTATTTTATTCCCCCCTTGGCGATATTCCAGAATTTTGAAAGGGGGGGGGGGGGTGACAAAAGAAAAACTTGATATTTGTTCCGGCCTAATAGAACTTATCTGAATAATACACTTTTATTGAATACAGCAACAATTTCGTAATACTCTTGTTCTAGAATGCAAATTATTTCGGGTGGAAATGGAGAATTATCGCTTTCTTGCTCTTAATCAATTTGTTGTTGACTTGCCATCTTCGCGAGTATGTTTGGCATGTGCGTTTTTTAAGGTTGCTTCCAAAAGCAAAACTTATCAAATTCAATGGATGAAAACAGTGGTGCCAGTTCAAATGATAAAGTTTTTTTTTCTTTGTTTAGGAGATATTCAGCCGTAGGCACATCTTGCACATCTTGCAAATTTCCAGTGGGAGTGGTCTTATTTTTCGATTATCTACAGATTTGAATTGATTTGCAGCTGAAAAAACCACACATTAAAAATCCGGAAGATCATAACCGCTGAAACAGTTTTATAAACCTTAATTTTTCTCATCAAAATATATGGAAGCACCAGCCGGATCACTGCAAACCCGATACAGAAAACAAAATATTCCACGTGGATGATGATTTCAAACACATGCGGTGGATAAATTAATCAGGAAAGGTAAAAAACATTTTCCTCTTCCTATGCTTCATGGCGAAAATTTCAGCCCTCATCACTCTTTTGATGGTTCCCTTATTCATCACCAGAGGCTGCAACGATCGGTTAGTTTCTACTGGATTCGCCTATATTCTTCTTCAAAGTGGGTTCCTTAATTTTGAAAAAAGTATCGTTTTTCATACATCATCTGAAAGAGCTTCGTTTTCTGAGCACAGCGACATTTTTTTCGAACCCACACCCATTCATGCCGATTTTTAAATCAAGATTTAAAGCAAAATAATAGCTTCACTGTTTTACACTAAACTAACAAACTGACAGCTCGCTCCCATACAAAGTGACATCGAGGGGCGCTAATAAGGTGATTTTTGCAAATGTAATCGTACTTATTTGAAATAGTTCCAGTGTACAGGGTGTCCATCCAACCGGGAAAACCGGTAAATCCGGGAAAAAACTGGGAATTCGAATTTGCCGGGAAAAACCGGGAATAATGCAGGAAAATCCAAATTGCACCGGGAAAGATCATATATACTCATCCCAAGAAACAATTTCGGTTTTATCATAGTCTTTTAGGCCTTAATTTGGCAATGACGAACTTGCAATGTTACTTTTAATCAATCAATTTTATATCACATACACCATTATATGCCTTGTTTACACATCTGTTAACAACTTTCATATTATGTCTTTCACTGTGGTAAAGTATCAAATCCTCAAAATTATTGCACATTTTCTCTCACTCGTAATCTGTTCGTGCACCGGGTAAACAGCGGTTTTGCCGTTATTCCTACCACGATAGCTTACAGAGTAAATTTTTAGAATTTATTCTGGTTTGACTATAGTAAAAAAAAATAAAGATCTGAACTCCAGGCATTTTGGAAAACCATTATGGGGTTTCACGAAGGTTTGCTCATTCTATCATTAAGTCGAATCATCGTATAGGGGAAAAATCTACTTCGACCTAATCGCCCATTCCCGGCCTACCGAGCACAAAACATCAAATATATCTATGATTTCGGCGTGAACGTGTCAAACACACGTTTGGTACGATGCTTCTATTCAATGGCTACAAGATGAAGTGTCGAAGAACGCAAAATAAGATCTCGAAAGCAAAAGACGCACTTCAAGGGTACAAAAGGCACACGCGAATTCACTTTTCTTTCCGTTCGATAAGTCAAAGAGAATCCCAATGAAGTTTCAATGGCTAATAGGCCCAAGAAAATTCATAAACCAAGTTGAGAAGCAGTTTTGCATTTTCAACAATAAACGAATATTCCGCGACCCCTGATCAGAACTAACGGTACAAATGGAAAGGTAAATACATTTGGAAGCCATCTGTAATAATAACATTCCGTTTGGTGCTAAACTACGCTACACCAAATATAGTTTTCATGTAACTTCCATTGGAAATGCACATGATTTTCATCCATAATCAAATACACATTTATGCGATTACATTAATTTTGTATGATTTTTCATATGAAATTCATCGGCCTCATAATATTTATGTGATTTTGTGGTGGGATTTGCTGCTATGTGATCACAGGAAAGCTATGTGAAATTCACATGGATCTCATCCATTAAATATGTGATACTTTTTTAGAGCGTAGATTAAGAAAGTCTAAGTGTGGGTTGTGCTTAATAGGCCGGGAATGGTTAACTCTACTTTGATGAGTCTGCTGAATTTCAAGATCAGATATCTTAGATGATTTGGATATTCCAACAATTGTTTTTGACACAATTCATAATTTTAAATGATGTGATGATTGTCCGTGAAGTACAAAATGCTCAACAATTCTGAGTGGAGTTAATCGAAATCGACGATTAACTTGTAAAATATCGCCAGGACAATTTGGAGAATGGAAAATGTTTTTGTAACACATCTTTGTATTCCACAAAAAGTTATTTGGCTTATAGAACTTCAAGATTTAAATTCCAGGAAGATTTGATAAACTTTTAATACTGCGTTTGTCCTGCTCAGGTTATACGAATTCATGATTTCATGAGATTTTGGAAATCTAGATCATTAACATGTTAATGTAAAACTCATCGCATATTTTGTTCTGCAAATTACATGACTATCTCTAAACGGTTATATTTAAACGTCTTTTTTGTTTAAGTCAGAGGTGATGTTTGAGTTGGGTTTATTATTTAATGACCAGGAAAAACCGGGAATTGAAAAATTGGATTTGGATTGGAGTGTACCAAAATTGATGAAATTTTGGGTTGTGGTTCCATTTTTAATGCAGATTACGAATATGCATTTTCCTCAATACACTTAAAGAACCCAATTGCACTGCCTATGTGCAATTTGAAGAAGAACATACCCAATGCATTCCAGGACGATGATGCTATCCAAGAAACATAAAACTCTGGAGTGCCTGGTGACGGTTGGGCAAGCGTGATTAACTTTGATCATGCCGATGTGTTTTAGGTTGCGTTTTTTGTTATGGAATCATTCACATTTGTGTTGAAATTCGCTCATTTTGAATGTTACAATTTTTTTTAAATGGCTTATTCGATATTTTACATTTAATCGCAGCACGAAAACGTCACTTCCAATCGCAATGGCGTTTGAGATCAGTTGTAAGATAAAATAAGTCTTTTTAGAATAAATGTACACGGTAAATTTGTTTCAGTTATTGGTTGAAGTGCTCAATAAAGAAATGTGCAGGTACGACAAATAAGTAAAATTTCTCCGGTAAATTAAAAAATATTCTTCATGAAACAAGAAATGATCAATAAGAAAGGTAAAATGTTCCTTAAAAAAGTTATAAAATGTACCAATAAAAATGTGGAACAAACAGAAATTTTGCTGAATCTCAGCATGTTTTTAACTGAGATTCAGTCAAATAAAATGCCGAGCCGATCTTGGCAAAAAAATCTAAGTGTGTACGTCGTGTGATTGCCCATAACAATTATGCAAAGTTTCATGCAAATCGGAGAATGTCAAGACAGATCGATTCGTCATTTGGTGTGGATTTCCTCAATTTCACCTGAATCCCCCCCCCCCCTTGTATCCCACCTAGATCCCATCCACTCCCAGAAAAAAATGCGGGAATACACTCTAAAAGCAACTTACTTTTTTTACGCTTTGCTTCCTTTCCTCTTGTTATCAGTTGAAACTGTTGCCTGCCACTGACTGCTTGCGTTAGTTGTTTCACCAGAACACTTCCCCGCACACTTTTTTTCACAAACACACACACACGCACAGCCAAAACACTCTCCTATTATATAGGTAGGATAGATAGGTAGGATATTCAAAGATTTTTCAAACAAATTTTCCTTTTCTTCGCACACTGGGGCCGCGCAAGGTTACGGGTTCAGCTCAGCTCAGCCGGCAGCCAAATTTCCCGGTGCCGTCGTCGTTGACGTCGGCCTGCCGGTTCCGCTGCTGCTCGGTGCTGCTTCCTGCCGGTAAATAGGCCATCGCGTTTCACTCGGGCAGCGCGGCGATTGCTTTCTCCTCAACTGATTTCACCCGAATTTTCTTCTGCTTAGGATAACTAGGTATTCGGGTTCTTTTCAAAACGACAGAGTATCACGCAGAACAGAAGAGGGGATGCCCGTTGATTGCTTTCCGTTTTGCGTTCATCCGCAGGGATACACCTTTCTTCTTTTGCTGTTCTTTTATTTTTCTTCTTTCAACACGGGTTAAAGGTGGCAATTGGGGCACAGGAATACACTTTGGGCTTAGATTCTGCCACACAATCGTGCACTCCAGATAAATCGCACCTTTGCAGTTTGTTTTCGATTCCGGATCGGGAGCTGTGGGGAAGAGAAAAATGGAATACATGAGAATGATTTGATTGATAAAAAAATAAATCAAGAAAATTGAATGCATATTTTAAATAAGAATCTGTTCAGGGATCAGAGCAAGGCAACGTCAAAGCTTAACAAGTAAGTTTGATCGATTTTTGCACCTTATAGTACGTTCAGTTTATGCTGATATCAACCTATCAACCTTTTCGAGTGTTAATGATTTAAGGAATCAAATTAATATTTACTTTACTTTTGCCGTGACATCAAAACTACCTTTCGTAATCCTACGTCAAATCTACGGTCATGTCTTGAATACAACCTCTTACTTTTTTCTTCACAGGAAGTTAGTATTGAACCTGTGAAGGTTTTAAAATATTTCATATTGGGTTTTTTAGAGAAAAACTGTATTGAAGTTTACTTAGCTGTTTACAAAGGCGTATACGGACTATTGATGATACAAAACTGTTATGGATCCAAACAAATTCAGCTGAAAATGATTCAAAAGGGGATTAAAGGTGTCAAAATAATAAGTTACTAAGATTGGTACAGTAAAATTCCCTCTTCGGTTCCGTCAGATATCGTTATGATCTCATAATGTTTCAATTTATAAAATAATTAAACAATGGTTTAGTCTCTAAATTTACTATTATTGAGCCATTCCATTGCAAAACGATAAAGTAGTTCTCAGAATTTGGTAAAAAATTGTAGGTTTGCTCCTGATCGCAAAATGTTTTTTTTTTTATTTTGTCATTAGGGTGACCATTTCAACGTTATGGTAGTCCAAAAATCGTTTTTTTTTGTTTGGTGCTAAACTACGCTAGATTAAGAAAGACTAAGTGCGGGTTGTGCTTAATAGGCCGAAAATTGGATAGTTAACTTTATATCGAAAAATCAGCTATGTGTTGATTTTCGCTAGCTGATAATCAAAATTTCATCCTTCAAAAACTGCACGTTTATCAGGCAATGGCGTTTATCAAGCACCTGCAATGGCGACCAGCGAGTCCAAATTGCGAGTCGCATTTGCGACAGCCACCCAATTGCGTTATTGGGATCATTCTTGGCCGCGTTGTCTTTCCTCATAACTGATTTGAGGCCGGGCTGGATAGTCGGACGGCCCGTATGTCTCATGCATTAAGCCAATTTTAGCGTCTGTAAAATAACAAAAGTATAGTTTAAAGTTATGTAATATTAAAGCCGCCCTTAATCATGGCTCGTGGCCGGAACGAATCCTGTTCAGGCAGTTCGTAGACAATCGTTCAAAAAACGCGCAGGCGCCTGCATCTCCAGAGTCATCGGATGGGTCAGATACAGATACTCCTTAATATCCTACTCCTTCTTCGCATCCGGGATGCGAAAGGGGTCTTCCAGACTTCAATACTAGGCAAGTACTCGCAAAATTCACTCAGCCACGTCTCTCCTGATGATGTTTCCATTACCAGTGCTTCTACGCCAGCCAATGTGGTCGCTCTGGTTGCACCTGAACCCATTTCAGAAACTATGACGCTGGTCCCCATGCCACTGAACTCTGCCGCGTCGGTTCGTGTTGTATGCAGTTACAGTCATCCTGATCTAGCAGTCGAAAGTGAATCTCCGGGTTGCACGTTAGAAAGCAACACGGAAGCCTCTAATCCACCTAGTAAATCCAAGTCGTCCTGGCCCTGTGTCTGGAGTACAAGAAGAGGTCTTCCAGCTTGCTCATCAAGGCAAGTATCAATGTAATAATGTGTGTTCCCTGCCTGAAGATGTTTCGCCCCACAGTTGGACTATTTGTCCTGCCACTGCGGACTGTACCTGTCACATTGGACTTCATTCTGAACACGCTGAGGATGCTTCAAACACTGGATTCCCGGGACGCGTCGTGGAAAGCACTTTGGAAGCCCTCGATCTCTCCGGCACGGTTCTGCATACCGCTGCCTGCGCTCTTCACAGTCGTCCAGACCCGTTGTTGGATGTAGAAAGAGGGTCTTCCAAACCTGCTCTAGCAGGCAAGTACCACGTTAATGCTGGCTTGCCTCTTCCTGATGTCTGTTCGAATTCCAGTGGTATTGTATGCAGCTTATCACCTTCCACCACGGCTCCATCGGCCGACAACGCGTCTGTTGCAGTTAGCGCTGTAAACGTAGCTCATCTCCTGCGCATATACTACCAGAATGAACCCATACACATTGTTTACCCGTCCAGTTTTCGCGACATCCTTCTTCTCCATACACCGTTCTCACATACCCCGCCAAAGATGATCCTAAGCACTCGTCGCTCGAAAACACCCAGTGTTTGCAGGTCCTCCTCGAGCATCGTCCACGTCTCGTGCCCGTAGAGAACTACCGGTCTTATCAGCGTCTTGTACATGGTACATTTAGTACGGGGTGAAGTTTACCCGACCTCAGGGTCTTGTTGAGTCCTTAGTAAGCACGACTTCCGTCAATTATGCATCTACGAATTTCTCTATTGCAGTCGCTATCCGACGTCACCAATGATCCGAGGTACACAAATTCATCCACCACCTCGAACTCATCTCCGTCGATTGTCACGCTTCTGCTTATGCGAGCCCTATCGTGCTCGGTTCCTCCAGCTAACAGATACTTTGTCTTCGACGTATTCACCTTTAATCCAACCTTCTCTGCTTCACGTTTCAGCCTGGTGTATTGCTCCGCCACGGCCCGAAACGTTCTTCCGACAATTGAAGATCGTGCCCCGCATGTCGAAGACCGCACGTTTAATAACACCTTCTAGCGCAATGTTGAACAGGAGGCAGGAAAGACCATCGCCTTGTCGAAGTCCTTTGCGAGTTTCAAACGAGTCCGATAACGCACCCGATATCTTCACGCAGCACTGTACACCATCCATCGTAGCCCTGATCAGTCTGGTCAGCTTCCCGGGTAACCTGTTCTCGTCCATAATCTTCCATAGCTCTTCACGGTCAATAGTATCATAGGCAGCCTTGAAATCGATGAATAGGTGGTGCGTACGGACTTGATATTCACGACACTTTTGAAGGATCTGCCGCAACGTAAAGATTTGGTCCGTTGTCGATTGCCCGTCCACAAAACCGGCTTGATAACTTCGCACAAATGCGATAGACGGCGAAAGATCATTTGGGAAAACACTTTGTAGGCCGCGTTGAGAATAGTGATCGCTCGATAGTTTTCACATTCTAGCTTGACGCCTTTTTTAAATATTGGGAAAATGAATGCCTCCTTCCACTCCTCCGGTAGTTGTTCTGTATCCTAGATCCTGACTATCAGTCGGTGCTGACAAGTGGACAGCTTATCCGGGCCCATTTTAATAAGTTTCACTCCGATACCATCTTTACTAGCTGCTTTGTTGTTCTTAAGCTGTTGGATAGCATCCTTAACTTCATCTATCGTGGAAGCTGGCATGTCCCCGTCATCCGCTGTACCGACGAAGCCATTCCTCCTGCTGCCTTGGTCGCCTGCCTCTGCGCCATTCAGATTTTCATCGTAGTGCTGCTTCCACCTTTCAATCACCTCACGTTCGTCCGTCAAGATACCCCCTTCCTTATCCCGACACATTTCGGCTCGTGGCACAAAGCCTTTGCGGGATACGTTGAGTTTGTCGTAGAACTTGCGCGTTTCGTGAGAACGATACAGCTGCTGCATTTCTTCGCACTCCAGCTCTTCCAGACGGTGCTTCTTATCCCGGAAAAGATGGTTTTGCTGTCTGCGCTTCTGTTTGTATCGCTCCACATTTTGACGGGTTCCTTGGTGCAGCATCCTCGCCCGCGCTGCGTTCTTCTCGTCCAAAACTGCCCAAATGGCACAGATAAACAGACGTAATTCTTCATTGTGTATCTTCGTTATCGCATGTAACGGTTGATTTGAGTATTATAAGTTCCGCGATTGGTCAAGGCGACGATGGATCGAGTGAGGTGCGTTGTTCGAGTATCGGAGACACTCTCGAGTCCCTTTGAATCTCGAAGGGAGTTACGGCAAGGTGATGGACTTTCGTGTCTGCTATTCAACATCGCGTTAGAAGGTGTGATCAGAAGAGCTGGGATAGACACGAGTGGCACGATATTCAGGAAGTCCATCCAGCTCCTTGGCTTCGCCGATGACATTGACATTATGGCAAGGAACTTTGAAACATTGGCGGAAACGTACATCAGACTGAAGGCTGAAGCTAGACGGATTGGACTTGCCATCAACGCATCAAAGACAAAATACATGAAAGGATGAGGTTCTAGGGAAGACAATGTTAGCCTCCCATCCCGAGTTCAGATTGACGGTGGTCGATGAGTTCGTGTATTTGGGCTCACTGGTGACCGCCGAAAATGATACCAGCAGAGAAATTCAAAGACGCATTATGACAGCGAATCGTGCCTACTTTGGACTCCGGAGGACGATCCGGTCGAATAAAATTCGCCGCCGCACGAAGTTGACTGTCTACAAGACGCTGATTAGACCGGTGGTCCTTTACGGCTACGAGACCTGGACTATGCTCGTGGAGGACCAACGCGCCCTTGGTGTTTTCGAACGGAGGAGGCGAATGAACCACGAATTGCACCAGCTGCAGGAAGAACCATCCATCGTCCACATTGCAAAAATTGGGCGACTACGGTGGGCTGGGCACGTCGTAAGAATGCCGCACGACGACCCAGTGAAAATGGTTCTAGAAAGCGACCCAACAGGAACAAGAAGAAGAGGCGCGCAGCGGGCAAGGTGGATCGACCAAGTAGAAGGTGACCTGCGGACCCTTCGCAGACTACGAGGCTGGCGAACTGTGACCATGGATCGAGTAGAGTGGAGACGACTTCTTCGGACAGCAGAGGACAACAAGGCCTTAGCCTGATTGGTAAGGTAAGGCAAGGTAAGGTAAGTTCCGCGAACTACTGGTCGCAGCGCTGGCATCGGATCACTTTGACGTTTCTATACATTCTATAGAACTTTTATGCAATATTGTTTGCGAGTTAACGATCAAGCTTGTTTTCCGCGAGAAGCCCGAGCGATGTCGTTACTAAGGTCCTATGATTTGAGTTACTAACTTTTTCAAAGAGCTACGTCTGTTTGTCTGTGCCAATGGCATCTTCGGTTAGCTGGGTGAGCACTGAACTTTCCTATAACCGGTCTGAATTCCTCCTCCTGGCCGACCTGAGCGTTATAATCTCCGATAACGATTTTGACGTAATGGCTTGGGCAGCTGTCGTATTCCCGTTCCAACTGCGCGTAAAAAGCGTCTTTATCGTCATCGCCACTTGCTAAGTTTATGCTGACATTGAAGAAACGGGCTTTGATCCTCAACTTGCACATTCTGCTATCAATCACGCGCTTCTGAATTTTGCCAATCACGATGAAAGCTGTACCTAACTCATGTGTATTGCCGCAGCTCTGGTAGATGGTATAACCATCCCTATACGTATGTACCGACGACGATCCCTTCCAGCAAACCTCTTGCAGCGCTACAATGTCGAACTTGCGGACCCTCAATAAATAGGAAAGAATGCGGGTACTTCCCAAGAAATTGAGAGACTCGCAGTTCCATGTTCCGAGTTTCCAATCGTTAGACCGTTTTCGTTGCCTCGGTCTATGCCGATTGTTCCGGTTTTCCAAAATATCAAAATGTTTAATTAGATATCTAAGATGTCGGGTCTAGGAAAAATGTTCAAGCTGTGGACATTTTTATAAAGAGAGCAGTTCCACGCCATTGTTCTCAAAGTTCTGTGCAAAGTTATCCTGAATCGGATACAACAGAAGATCGACGTGACTCTCCGGCGACAGCAGGCAGGATTCCGTGCCAAAAGATCTTTTGTGGACCTCATTGACCTGCTCCACATCAACCTGGGTCAATGAATTCCAACAGTCCCTTTATTTGGTATTCATTGACTACGCAAAAGCTTTCAACCGACTCAATCACGAGAATCTGTGTGATTTTGTTTCGCTCTCAAAGGCTCCCAATATCACGCATGATATTGGAATAAAATATCAAGCATGATATTGTTTTACAAGCTCCTTTGATATTGCGAGACCATTCAGAACATGTCAAATTGCAGCCACGAGTTGACTTACCACAAAAATGATTCCTTTGCACATCGTTTTCTTAGAAAGAGAAAGCATAGTTTGCTATCTTTCTTTACGCTTCACAGATGGTAGACACGAAGTTACTGCTGCCAGCAGTGATGGAAGTTTCGTTTCGTGTTCGGATGTACAGCAAAAATCTTGAAGCTCAAACTCAACACAGTTTGGTGAGAATTGTAGCCGGGGAGTTTTGTTAGCATGATATCATAGCAACCGTATCACAGCTTGTAACAAGGTTCTCTCTGTTTGTACTCTTTAGTATGACTATGATTGCCATGAAAAGAAGCTTTTGATATGAATTTTAGTTGGGCCGAAAAGGGCCGATGGAAGTACAGGCTTAAAGCCTTTGGAAAATGATGACGACGTGTAGGCAGCTGGATCAGCAAATCGAACCGGACAATGATTGGGCACTCGCCCGTCTGCTGCTGGACAGGGGTTGAACTGGTGTCTGCGATAGGTTGGAAGGCCGTAGAATATCAGTGTCCACCCAGCTTAAGCTCCTCCCCTTTTTAGTTTTTCTCGTTAAACTCCTTCTCTCAACAAGTTGGTCAATCTTAACCTTTAGCAGATTCAGAAAAAAAATAGTACTTTTAATTATTTTCTCTACTGCGCTACATCAAACGAGTAGAAATAAGAAGGGGTGTCGGTTACGAGCTCGAATGATTGACAATTCGATAAATATTTAATCGAATAGATGGAAAAATCTTCACGATTATTCGTTAATCGAATAATTGAACTTTTAGGCATCCCTAGAAAATAGAGTACATAATTTCATGTTTTTTGGTGGTCATTCAAAAATGTCGAACAGAAGAATCGCAACCAGCAAGTGTTACCGAAGTACCAAAAGCGGTGCGATGCTAGTTTTCATTGCTATGACGACGACTGAATTAAGGAGCCTAAGCAGAGGGGTGAAAGTCAATTATCTTCATCGATTTCCTCTTTTGATGACCATGGTTTAACTAACCTATTTCGCACTATTTCTGCTATGCTCTTCAGAACAACAATCAATGAATGTGTTTGCCGTCCAGTTATTAACGAAACAGTTATTAACAGTCGATGAAGAGAATCGATCAAAATCACTTGCGCCCCTGCTTCCAAGTTTGGTTTCCAGATTACAACTCTGGAGAGCATTTTGTGTGGTTGTTGGGGGCGTGTGGTTCTGAATATGGCGATGAGTGTGCAAAATGTTACGCAATTGCATCCTCCCTATTTGCACACGCCCGAAGATCTAAGGCGAATGCCACTTTGACTTGATCCGTCTACTAACGACTCTCTGATGACAGTGTTGGGGAAGCAGCAATGCTACATCGACATGTTTCGTCTGGAAACGATTATCTGATGACTGTGTTGGAGAAGCAGCATATGCATGTAACTAGTTGGTGGATTTGTTAGTTATTTCGACGCTTTTGGACAATGCTTGACATTTACCACCTTTTCAATAGTAATAGAAATATTTCTGATCGATTGCTGATAAAATTATTGAAATTGGTCCAGAGGCAACTGAGTTATTAACGTTCAAAATCTTTCATAATTTCGTTACATGTTCCATTTTCGGTTTTCACAAAGTGTACCCCCATGTAGAAATCACAGACGTAGTCCTACGTCAAAAATATTTAAATCGAAATTTTTGCCTCCTTTATATTGAAAACATACGAAACCTGAGGGAGATCTATGGAAAATTCCAATCAAGTTTAGGCTTTAGCTCCCAGTTAAGATCCTTATCTTATCCAGCTCTGTGACAGGACGTCATTATCGCATAGGTAGCATATCATACGTGTCAAAGGACTGAAAATAGCATAACAAATTAGTTGATCCCGGTACATGTTACATACTATCAAACTCTGTTGTTGGTAGAGGCCTTGCCAGTAGCCTGATTTTATCGTATTCAAAGTTGGTAAGAGCAAAACGCTCAATTTTTGGTATCTTTGGAATAATTCTTTATTGGGAAAATTGATTCGAGATTGTATTTCTTATTTATCCTAACGTACCTTCTTCAACTGTTTAAACAAACTTAAACCGTTTGTCCCGAACCACAGGTCTCTTGTTCGCTAATGTGCTTTTCCGAGTGAAAATATAGAATCAAAATTAGCACGAAACAGGATTTGAACACCTCACACTTTGCGTACGAAATTCCTTTTTGATTTTTTTCTTATGCTGCCACGGGACCAACAGCCTTTTCCTCCCGTTCACTCATTTCCACAAAAAAAAAAATGAATATTCCTTCACTCCGCCGTTAACCTCCACTCAATTTTTATTTTCTCTAAGCCGCATTCAAATCAACTTTCTCCAAACGACCGAAGCACCGACGAAACTAGGTCACCAGAGCCACCCCGCGGAACCGGAAGTAGGTGGTAGCCTCTCTCACACACAGCATTTTTCTCCATTCATTAATATTTCACCTTCCTTCTGTCGATGCAAGGATGTGTGGGAGGGAACGGAAGGTCTTTCCTTTGAACACCACTTTTCAATCACAATCTTCAATCTTCTTTCAGACGTATCTCCGCTCTTACCAATGACATACGTGCGTGTATGGGAGCGAAAAAAGGACGCGTGTCATCCGCAAGCGAACAAAAATCCTTCGGATCACTATCTGTACCGTTTTTTCCATGCGGTTGGGGAAGGCCAAGCTGGATGGTCGCTTTTCAGCACTCACTCATTCACACTATCACTCGTCAAAGAAAATCCATTTACGCGAGGCTCTTCACGGATCAACCGGACAGAGCGGCAGAGCCTTTCCACCTGTGCAGATGAATTGCGGCTTGGCCCAATTTTCACGACGGGGGTTGAAATTCTTCTCTCCTCAGCTCACGATATGGCAAGATTTTCCGTCGGAGCAGGCGGGGGGAGGCTGCTTCTACTACTGACCACCCCTCTACACTGTGAACACGACCGGAACCCGACGTCGATTCCCGGAGGATTCACCCATCCCGTCCGTTTTCCACTATACAGATGGCAGACGGTAGAACTCACTGCTCATTCAAAATGTAGATATGTGAGGAAAAATCTGACACTCCAAACTATGGCAAATGCCCACCCCGAAACAGTGGTGTGCAGGTAAAACGACGGTCTGCCTGCTGCAGCACGAGAGAGCTACGCGACGCGTTCGATCCTAGTGAAAACTCACGACTGAAAGTATGCGCGATGCCGAACCGGGAGCGAAGCGAATGTTTGTTCGAAGTTTTTCCACCCGACGACGAAAAGGGGGCCAGCAGCAGCAATAGCGTCGCGACGACGACGACGACGACAACGACGACGGTGAGTTTTCCGCTTTGCATGTTTCGGCGGCGCCCGACCGAAGTAATTCCGGTGCTGCTGTATGTACGTTCCTATGTGTGATGGTAGTGGTGAGAGAATGATTGGCGATTAGGGATGTTGAACTTGTTGGGTGAAAAGTGGGATCCTCGAAAATTTCTGTTGCAATTGGGAAAAAGGACTCATAATTACATTTTAAACAGGGAATCATTTTTCTTTAGAATCTCAATCTTGCTGCATGAGCAAGATACATGCTCCATTTTGCCATTCCAGTGATCTGGATGCCATTTGGTCATTACGGCCATACGGAACCGGCTACAATCCGGAATAAATCTGGATGAATGGAAAATGACTAATCTGAGATGAAATGACTCTAAAAATTGAACACTAAAGTTGACCGTTGAACTATGACTAGCCCAATATGGTACTGCCGACCATTATTTGACCATATGGGGCCATAGATTAGAACTGCAGAAGATCCGAAACATCCGTAAAAGTTGGTCAAATTGTGAAACTCATCCTAAAGCATAGCGATTTTTTTCAAAATAGGTCACTACTGCGTAAGTAATTTACAATGTGCATTTCAACCTGCCATGTCCACATGTCAGTCCTCCGGAAGATCCGGAACATCCCTAAAAGTGATCAATTTGATAATCTCGTTTTACAGTTCTACGTGTTTGACGTAGGACTACGTCTTTCGGGAAGGGTGCCATCCAGGGAAATGCAACGAAAATTGGTCAGACTTTAAATGCGAATAACTTGGCCAATAATCAATGGATTTTGATGATTTGTATGTCGATCGATTTGGCAGTCTTATACAATTTGTGTGGTATGTCTTACATGTAAAATTCACGGTTATTAACTTGTTTTTTTTTATGTTCTACATTTGGTTTAAATATTTCCATTGGTTAGCCTTTAGCTCTTCACCTTTGTTCTAGTTAATTAGTTATTCTAATGTGATGATTGCGTTTACCGCTAATTTACAGGATACCCTTTTATGGGATTGTTTTTGTTTGAATTTAAATATTTGATAACCTACCTACTTGAGCACAGGTACGCACAAAACTTCTTTAACTAGGTTGCCAAATCACGATGTTGCAAACGACCTCAGCAGGTATGAAAGCTTTGGTCGAACCGGCCAACGGACAATGATCACCTCATCAATACCATAGATTTCATCGCACAATCTTTATTCTCCTGCCATTTTCCTTCCTTAACTCCTGGACCCTTACTTGAAGCATCTGCGTCTCCTAAATCTAGGCTTGATAGAGCCTCGCTCGTGAGTTTAAAATGAGCCGAGCGTAGCATTTTTCTGAGGAGTAGAATGCCTACTGCCAAATCATTCCACTGAGCAGTGTTGGCAAAATCAGAAATCAATTGATATTTTTCCGCTCTCATGCGCTCGCAATATCACGCGTGATATTGGAACAAAATATCATGCTTGATATTGATTTTATAAGCTCCTTTGATATTGCGAGACTATTAACAACGTGAAAAAATCAAGCTGAGAGTTGACTCGACACAAAAATGATTCCATTGCTCATCGTTTTCTTAGAAAGAGAAAGCATAGTTTGCTATCTCTTTTTAATCTTCACCGATGGCAGACGCGAAGGGACTGCTGCAAGCCGTTATCACCCCCCGTGCATCTAGACAGAAAACCTTAGTTTCACGTACCCACTTGCAAATTGTAGATGTCTCCACCGTACGTAAACAATGGGGTCAGCCAAAGTTGGTGGCACAACTTTTTTCACATCAGAAAACATGTTTTTGTTTCACTTCATGTGGACTTCGAAAGAAAACCAAGAATAAATTTTGAGTGAGACGTATTACTTTATTAATCCACCAGTGGATCTGGCACTTCTTATTTCTGTAAATTCTGATATTCTTTTTAAAAACTACCTCGAAAGCACCACCCTAATAAAAATGTTCCATACACGAACCATAACCCAAATGGTTTAACCATATGACACATAGTTCGGAACCTGCACAGGTTTTTAAGCACTTTTTATGGTTATTTCCTATGTGGGCACTGGGCAGTAACCCGATTAAAGGGTTTCGTTTATTTCGGTTATGTGGTTGCCGACAAACATCACTTAGTTCCCGGATTTCCAGTTAATCGATTGAAAGTCTATTAATTAACATTCTATAGAATCATGGTAGCTTTCATTTGGTTGTTGTTGCGTTCAATTCGGTAGAGTGGTTGCCGAGAAATACATATAAGAAAATTGTCTTACGCGCTCTCTCACACACATAAATAGACAGACATTTTCCGATCCCGTCATGCTGAGTCGATTGGAAGACTATTAGAAAAAATATCAATGTTTTTATAAAAAGTTAAAAAAAAACAAAAAACTTAAAACCGGGAAAAAAAAGTTGATAAAAAAATAAGACCAATTGTAAATTTACTCCACCATTATTCGATTTGACAGAACCAGAGTACCAGAATTTACGGGGTACATTAGCATTACACTGGAGCTGTCTAGATGCTCGGGGGGTGGCCGTTATGGATGTTTCGGTTGCATTCGGGTGTAAAGCAAAAATCAATCAACTCAATCTCACCACAGTTTGGTGAGATTTGAAGTTGGTGAGTTTTGTTAGCTTGATATTCCGAGCTGCGATATCACAGCTTGCAAAATCAACCGCAGTTGTTTGCTTGTTGATTTTTGTCTACGAAAATCAAGCGTGATCTTGGTCGTTGGTGAGATTTGATTTTTTGATATTTTCCCAACACTGCCACTGAGCTTCAGAGCTTGTGAGCGAAGGGGGATAAAATGAGAGTAAGGTTTGCTTCCATTAATGTTCATGTTTTCTATCACTCTGGGTGAATTCTGAGCTTCTTGCGTCGAACAATAATGTCATCCGGAGTCTCGAAAAGTGCACCTCAAGTCAAATCATCCTCTCTCTCTCTCTCGAGGAGTTCTGGTTAACTTCTTCCATATTCCTGCCGCCACTCACTCGTGGTGAGGGCTGGCTAAACTCGCAGGACAAGAGTGTTTCAAAACCCCCAGTGAGTTTGAGGAGTTTCAGCAAGCTTGCCTAAATCCGAAGACAACAAATCAAGCAGACTGGCAACTTTGCCAGAATCCAAGCGACAGATACAATGGCGCTGCGCTTGAGTGAAGGTGGAAGCAACGCATAGAAAAATGAGCAAATACACAAACAAACAGGATTTAATCTTTGCTATCCAATTCGTTCGAAGCATTTACCTTTGAGCGGCAGATGACGCGATTGTACTTGTCTCATTGCGTCCGTATGAGAAAATGAAAGAGTTGCCAGTCTTCTTGATTTGTTGTCTTCGCTAAATCTCACTAGCTTCTTCTTTCCTCTCTCTTTCCACCCTTTTCTCTCATTTACTCACTATCTTCTCGTACATTCGTCTTCCGTGGCGCGGCCGCGGACGTCGTTTGCTGCTTAGCCTCTACACCCGAGCATTCGATTGGATGCTTCCACCATTTGCGATTGCCCCGGAGACGATCGAGCCACGCTATCGAACCGTCACTGCTTCGAGGAAGCCGGACAGTGGCCTGATTTTGGAATGGCCATGCGACTACAAAACTCCAACCGGACCGCCACCTCACGGTTTGATCGTTCGTTCCTGACGATTGACTAATCAACGCCGTCTGTGATCCACCGGTTAATTTGAGGCTGTAAAAACAAAAGCCCTGAAGCGGTGCTTCATTAGACTCACTGTGGCCCTGAGGAATGCAGCGCGTAACTTACTCCTGTGTCGAAGGCTCTTGCTTGGCTCTTATGGCTCTCTCAATTCGCGGCGTGTGGGAGCTGATGCCGCTCGGCGAGACAATGCAACAGTGATATCACATTTTTAATTAATCGTAGAATTAGCTTACCGCCTTATTTGGCCTCCGTCTCACCCGGATCGTGCTCGTTCTCGTTCGACTGACTAATGAATTTGGTGTTTTTCGGAGACTGATATTCGGATGCATTTTTTTTTTGCGGCGTGGGAAGCTTTCTGCTCTGCGACGACGTGGGAAGATGGCGTCGCAGAATGTGCGGAAAATCTTCGTTCCTCGGTAGTTTCCTTGACGAGGATGGGCCAACACCATCCCACTCATTGAATTCCTCGCTACGGTCACTCCGGCAAAATTTTGCACCTCACGATTGTCATTTTCAGGATTTATTATCAGGGAATTGATTTGTTACAGCTCAGGTTCGTTCGAGGGACGATCAGTCAAGAGCGAGGATTCCACTCCCTCGTTTATTGGTTCCCCGCCGTTGCTGACACGTGCGGCAACTCCGTAGTGAGAAGCCTTTCTGTCCACAACGATAAAAAAACAGTACCGCTTGCGATTTCGTGCAATCCATGAACCGATGTCCTTCCGCGTCACAGTTCCTACAGATCAATACTACCGCCCGCGAGTTAGCTTCCATATTCTGCTAGTGCTGAGCGACGTGCTGGTTGATCACCTGTGAGTGATGAGCTTGCTGATTGTTTGCTTGACTTGCCAGTGCTTCACGACGATCAAACCTCAGCTTCAGGGCATTTACCTTCTGCAAAATTGCGTCCATCTTCTGCACCAGCTTTTCTTCCTCGTGCGTAGGTTGCTCTGATTCGGGAGCTTGCTGTTGTGCTGCATTTCCGCGTATTGCTGCAGATGCTCTGCATCTAAAGCATTGACCTTCCCGAAACGCTGCAGTGGCTGGTGTAGTTTTGTTGAGCGCTGTGTCAACGAAGATGTGGCCAGTGATGGTCCAACCAATGCTCCGTTGGGCAAGGAGATGCGTCGTTGATTTGCTTGCAGTTTCCTGAGTTCATCGAGTTCTTTGCAGGCCCTTACCAGCAGGTGCATGTTGGTCGTTTGGTGTGATACGGCAATCGGTGCGTAGGTGGAGTTCATGTTTTTCTTGATAATGAACAGCTTTTCTTGTTCACTCATCGGAGGGTCGACGTG